TGACGGCGAATCAGCTGATTTCCATGGAATTCGGCTGCGAATTCCCACTTTTTCAACTCTTCGAGCTTCGAAAGTGGAAGGTGAGTTATTTTGAACAATTTTAAATTGTACTGACTCTGAATGAATCTGAAAGAATGTAAGCCATTTGAATAAATGCCTGAAATAAGGCAAAATACAAGGAAAAGAGCATATAATCGACATAAAAATAAAGGAAATCAGAGCCAGTACAATTCAAAATTGTTCAGAATAACTCACCTTCCACTTTAGAAGCTTGAAGAGCTGAAAAAGTGGGAATTTGCAGCCGAATTCCATCGAAATCAGCTGATTCACCGTCACCGAGCCGCAGCCGCTGTCGCGTCACAGTGCAGCGCGGCTGTGCCGCCCCGACAGTACGTAATGATGAGGACTGTGCCACCAACTAAAATGTGTACGTGTAATATACGAAAATTGTAAAAAGCTTAACTAAATGCAGTATACGGTGTATAATATGCGTAAAGTAGGCGTAAATTACGTTGCGCGAGGGCGTGGTTATCTGGGGGCGGGGCGCGTAATGGGATACCATCCGTGCAACATACATGCGGTGGGCGCTTCGCGCAAGATTGAAAAAAAACCGTTTCGCGGAAGATCCAGTTAGGAGTTAGAAGTTATGATGTCGGCCTATATTGCAGGGTCGAGGGTTCCAATGTCGCAATCGAGACCCGGAGAATGGCTTCCAGTAACGATACACAGCATATGGTGAACGATGAGGAAGAACGAGTGTTTGTTAGATTCCCCTATATTGCCACATTTCTATCCGATCAAATTATGAGTCATGCGAGTGCCTCTCACGAAACAGGAAGTTGAGCTAAAGTGTAGTCGGTTAAGGTATGCGCTTATCATAAATAAATCAAAAAGAATAGAAAGACCATAAGAAAGGTTTCTTACTGTTTCCACAATTCCTTGGCAGTAGTTTTCGTCCAGTTTATCAAATTCATTCCCTTTCAAAGGGGGGGGGGGGGAATTAGATAAATTAATACCGAGTTTACTCTTTCTTAGGCATGTCATACTAGTCTCCTTTCGTCCAGAAATTAACAGAGAGCTAGTTGAAAGCCCTACCTCTGACAATTAGTTCCTCTCTCTCTCCTCTCAGGCTTTGAAGAAGACCTTTCTGCGTAAGAAAATATAGGGGCCTACCGAACTCGCAAGAGTTCAGCAACGGAGGCCTACACTACCAAGTCACATTGCTTTATTGAAAGTCGCTTTTGGCCACTATTTTAGGCCTTTCTCCTTCCGTTTTTATATGTCTTTAATGCATTTCTCTTCTTTGCATAAGAGTGTTCGGACGTAGCAGGCTTCCTAACATTCTCATTATTTTTTTCAAATGCCTGTGGCAAAAGTGAGCAGCAGTGGTTTACAGTTCCTTCTCAGGTGGACAAACATCTAGAGGTGTTTTTCTTCACAAACCTGTAAGCTAGATGTAACGGAGTACGACCTTTTCCGTCTTTACACAAAGCCATTTCCTTCTGAAAGAGCAGTTGCTTGAGAGTTCGTTCATCTTCGGCTGCAATCGCGTCCCATATACCAAGAATTTGCGCCTGAACTACAGACATTTGAAGACGAGCTCGAGTTTAGAAGTAGTAGAAGCTTCCATTCCACCAGGGCAAATGGATGAATAAGTCTTCTTCTAACTCTATGCTCAAACCGCCTAATGTCTTCATACTCAACGACATCGCGCGGTCGCTTTATGGAGCGGAGACAGGCGCACAAAGAGTATAGATATCAATCATGGAATACGACCCTATACCAATGATTCAACAGCTTTAGCAACTTCTAATTTCCTCCTGTTCAGGTCCTTAATGTAATTCTTAGAAGAGGAAAAATTCAAAAATCCACGATCACTCGAGAACTATATTGTCGAATTTTTCCCTTTTTAGTTGTCTAGTAGTTCTACAGTCCCTCATCATTACGGACTGTCGGGGCCAGGGCACATCATTGATTGGGGATTTTAATCGACTCGATACGACCCCCTTTTTTTGGCGTAGTTGGTACGAAATCCTCCCCGACCCAGCCCATGTGCCTTTCCTTCAGTCGAATCGAAGCCCCTGAGGGGGTGGCATTACAGCAGCATGGAAACGGGAAATCACGAAAAGTTCAGACCCCGCCTACTACCACAACCCAAAACGCAAATTAATGGACCCGCGCCAAATGAGGCAAATCGGACCCCCTCCTCTAGCGACAAATACGACTATTGCTGATTCCCAACAACGACGTGCCTTGTTGGGGACAGCCGCGCTGCAATGTGACGCGACAGCGGCTGCGGCTCGGTGACGGCGAATCAGCTGATTTCCATGGAATTCGGCTGCGAATTCCCACTTTTTCAACTCTTCGAGCTTCGAAAGTGGAAGGTGAGTTATTTTGAGCAATTTTAAATTGTACTGACTCTGAATGAATCTGAAAGAATGCAAGCCATTTGAATAAATGCCTGAAATAAGGCAAAATACAAGGAAAAGAGCATATAATCGACATAAAAAAGGAAATCAGAGCCAGTACAATTCAGAAATTGTTCAGAATAACTCACCTTCCACTTTAGAAGCTTGAAGAGCTGAAAAAGCAGGATGTGCGTAGGCCAGGTTTTCGTATCATCAGCCGCAGGCGCTGTAGCTATCACAGGATGCCCGCGCGCGGCGTTGGAGCCCGAAGTCCGTACTGATAGAGGAACTGTCTATTGAGGGAATGGAGAAGTCCTCCGAAAAGTAAGCATTGACCCAGTAGTTACAACGGGTAAACTGTCCGACTGAGAAAGTACTTCGAGAAAAATTGAAAAACTTATTCGAAATTGCAGTCAAAGTGTCACAAAGCTTCCAGTCAACCTACATAATAACAGGCAACGAAGGCATTTCCCAACTAACCTGAACCTGTGCTAGTCGCGCAAAAATCTTCTTGCGGATGCATGGGGCAATCGGTATGAGTGCTTGGCAAAGATCCAACTCTCCTTCCATTATCATGCGATACAATGCTGGTTCTGATTGTGTACGAAACAGATCCTCCCATCCGCTCATCATTGAAGACGGATCTGCAATGGGATTCCAGAGCAACCTCAATTTTTCACAAGTAAAACTTCGGAATATTTTGTGATAACGCGGGCAACGGAAATATCCTCGGAAATTAGCAGGAAGAGTATATAACAACAAAACTATCTAGCTTCTCGTATGTTTTGTAACAAGTTGGAGGTTACCGAAGACTTTGATGGGTGGTTTGGTTGTAAGAAACTTCCTCCGAAAGTCGCATAGGCGGATAGGCGAGTGAACACCCCTAACTTTTGTGCTTTCCTCACTGGGCTTTTCCTACAAATACGATCAAGAGGAGGGACGTTCCAAAACGATTCACAACGGTTATGAGGCTCCGCCCATACGACTATCGTAGACTGCGTTTGTAAGCAGTTCACCGCTCGCGCTTACTGAAGCTCGAAATAGGAACCACTTAGCATTATCATGTTGACTTGCTACAGCCATCATATTCTATTTATCTATGCTGCAAACATCATCTGAATGCGCCGAGGATTCGACTTTGCTGTGATAAAATAAAAACAAAACATCATAGAATCCAAATTCAAATGCAAAAAATAGAAAATAAGTATAGAAACTAAATATAAAATGCAAACAAATTCTCTGGACACGTGTGCAGTAACAGTCTAAGGTAGTCGTCAAAACGGTTTTTCTACTTAAATTTTTTTCTCATCTAACCAACAGTACGTAATTTTCTTTATTAGTTCTTCAGCCCAGAGAACAAAAGGTCAATTAGAGCTTGAACTACGCCTTCGCTGAACGTCGGGATAATGTCCTCGACACCAGCGGGGCGAGCTTCCACTCTCGAGTTCCAACCAAGAAAACGCGCTTGGACTGAGCCAGAATTGGAGATCTACAACCGTTTTCTCCAAAATACCTTCTGACAAGCCATATTGAATCTCATTTTAAAAAGCATACCTTCTTCAGGGTAACCGAAATGAGACGTTAACATCGTTCAGTCCAAGGTGTCGCCGGCACTAAGCTTATGTTCATAGGAAATCCTCAAGTGATGTTATGTGATTAACAGCAAAGCTGCTTAGTTGAGATAGCTTTTGACTTAGCCGTGAGAGATTTTAGCCTGGCTAGCACCCTTAGCGACGGAAAGCGGTTTGTTTTCCAAGTACATAAGAACCGTTTTGTTCTCCTCCCTGAAAATCTATCGGGTTATGGAGGAAAGGCTTACGGCATGAATGATAGACTGATCCACTTCGTCAGCTCTTGTTTGATGTGCCACGCATTCAAAATTATGTTCCGAGTTGTTGGACAGTTCCTGCTCCACCCAACAAGAAATGTGTGGAGCCATCCGGTTATTTAAAGGCACGATAATTTGATTTCCGCAGGAACAGATGCTGTGATTAGTACGACAGTAGTAAAGGAAAAAAGGGACGAACTGCCTGAAACGCTCGAAATAAGGCCCTATTAACTGCTCCAGTCAGGAAGAACGAGCCTACATCTGATATAAATCGACGCTGTTCAGAGAAAAGTGAATGTGGAAAGTCACGACGACTCCAAAGGGAATATGAAAACACTTTGCCCCCGGCGGTAGCAGACTTCAAGACAACATCAGCAGGGGTCCTCAAGTGATGCAGGGACATACTAATGAATTTTCACGGAGCGCCTGTGGAAGATTCGCGGAATCAAGTGAAAAAGCCGAGAAAGTGAAATAAATTCCAAATTCGTCCAAAGTCCAAAACAAGTAAAAAAAAGGCAAAAACGGGCAATACTTCCAAGGAAACCATGCGCTCTGCCGAAAGAATGACATTCTCGTTACTAGTAAGAATTTACCTCCTCAAAAAGAAACCTAATAAAGGGAAAAAGCGCTATTCAATCGCACAATGAGGGTGAAAACAGCTGATCCGATCGTAATCAATCGCGGATCGGTGCGGCCATTTGTGGGCGTGTCCTTGCTGGTACGGGTGGGCATGTCGAGCCTTGCTGAGATGCTTAGAGAAAAAAGACGAAGGATTTTTCGTTATAAAGGACACCACGTAAGGTTTGCTCAGAGGCGCGACATTCTTTGGTGATCGGTGTATTCATGCTACATATCTAAGGGGTTTATCGTGCCCTTTGCCTTTAAGGCAGTGCTATTATCTTCCCAGACACTTGACGCAGGTTTGGCATGGAAAAGTGAAAGGCCTGTCAGTCTGGCCAACTTGTGTTGGGGACACTGTGATCTATTACATGTAGGTATTTGATCTTGTGTTGTACTAGGTCTGCCTGGTTTGACTCGATCTTTTGACCAGGCAGAGGAGTATATAAACGGGTTATTTTCTATGTTGATATACTACTGTCTTCCAATAAATATTCTACTGCTGCCTTATTCTCAAGGACACAACAACTGGCGATCAGGACAACTTCGAGGACTTCGAGGACCACACCGCCGCCACAATGATGTCAGAAGAAGCGCCACTCAAGGATCTCGTGCAGATGATGGCCACCCAGCAGAAGCTCCTCATCGACCTGCTTCAGAAGATGTCATCGCCCACAACCACGCCGCAAGAATCTATCTTCGACCGAATGACAAGGAGGATCGACAAGTTCTCGTACGACGCCGATCAAGACGACTGCTTCAACATGTGGTTCAGCAGGCACAAGGACATTTTCGAGGTCGACTGCCAGGGAATGGAAGAGAAGATGAGGACACGTCTCCTCATCTCTGCACTTGACGCTGCAAGCCACACACGCTTCGTGCGCCATATTCTTCCCAAGGAGCCCGGAGAGCTTAATTGGACGGAAACGCTGGATGCTCTGAAGACGCTGTTCGGCACCAAGAAGAGCCTCTTCCGCCGCCGCTTCGAATGTTTTCGCATGAACTTCTCGCCGAACGAAGACATCGATAACTTCGTGAATTCGCTGAAGGCCCGCGCTATGGAAGCCAATTTCAAGGAAATCAGGCAAGAGACTCTGGAATGCCTGGCTCTGGTTTTCGCCTTCCAAGCTCCAGAGCTCGCCGACTACCGCGTCCGCTTCCTGCGCAAGCTGGACGAAGACGACAAGACCACCATCGACGATTTGGCCAAGGAATACCATGCCTGGAAATCGGTCAAGGATGACTCCAGAATCGTCGAAACTGTCAATTCACAAGAAATCCATGCTGTCCAGAAGAGGAGAAAGCACCGTCTGCCTCGCCCAACCAAATCATCACTGCCACCCTCACCGTGTCCAATCTGCCAGCAGCAACATTGGAAGAAGGACTGTCCAGAAAACCGCCACGCTACCAGTGCCACCCAGGAGTCAAGGACTGCGCCACGACGTCGCAAAGCAGTCATCACCGCGCACCTGGTACCAACGCGTCATCGGCCGTCCAGGAGATGTCCAAAAGTACCTGGAAGTTCACATCAACGGACATCCCACCCCTCCAGTTGGACACCGGCGCCGACGTCACCATCATTTCTCGTCCAACCTGGATGCAGCTCGGAAGCCCCACCTACAGAAGACCTCCGACGTCTTCAAAGGAGCCAATGGATCCCCACTACCAATTCACGGAAGCTTCGAAGCCGCTTTCGTGGTCATGGACAATCGAGGAAAGGCTCATCCCGGACATGGCACCTGCTATGTCTCCGACGACAACGACCTTCTCGGCATCACATGGATCGAGCAGATTCCAGACTTCGACCACGTTTTGAGGAGATTCAACGTGCAGAAGGTTCCAAACACTGAACAACGAGGCCCTCCGAGAACCAAACGATCGCCAAGCTGAAGCACCAATTCATGGATGTCTTCGAGCCCGGACTTGGATACTGCACCAAGACCAAGGCGACACTCTACCTCAAGCCCGATGCTCGCCCAGTCTTCATCAAGAAGAGACCGGTTCCCTACGCCTCCATACCGCTCGTCGACGCCGAGATCGACCGTCTCATGGCACAGAACGTCATCTCCGCCGTCGATCACTCTCGATGGGCTGCGCCAATCGTCGTTGTGAGAAAGGCCAATGGTACCATTCGACTTTGCGCCGATTTCTCGACGGGACTCAACGACGCATTGCTGTTGCATAGGCATCCACTACCCACCGCGGAGGATGTTTTCACAAAGCTCAATGGCGGAACCGTCTTTTCACAAATCGACTTCGCCGACGCTTATCTACAGGTCGAAGTCGATGACGACTCCAGAGAGCTCCTCACCATCAACACGCACAGAGGACTCTACAGATACAATCGTCTACCGTTCGGAGTCAAGTCAGCTCCTGGCATCTTCCAGCAGATCATCGACTCCATGATCGCTGGACTCAACGGCGTTGCTGCCTACCTCGACGACGTCATCGTCACCGGCCGCACTCTCTCCGAGCACAACGCCAATCCTGGAAGCCCTATTTTCAAGGATATCCGACTACGGCTTCCGCGTCCGCATCGACAAGTGCCATTCGTGATGACACAGCTCACCTATCTCGGAAACGTCATCACTGCTGCCGGACGCCGACCCGATCCAAAGAAGATCGACGCTATCTCCAAGATGCCAACACCGAAGGATACCGCCCAGGTCCGGTCATTCCTCGGACTCATCAATCCATACGGAGCATTCGTTCCAGAGATGCGCCAGCTCCGCGCACCGCTCGACGCACTACTCAAGAAGGAAGCTCCGTTCAACTGGAACTCCGAATGCGAAGCCGCTTTCGAACGCGCCAAGGAAGTGCTCGCTTCGGACCTGCTCCTAGCTCACTACGACCCCAAGCTGCCCATCATCGTCGCGGCCGACGCTTCAGACTATGGGATCGGAGCAGTTATTTCTCATCGCTATCAAGACGGAACAGAGAAAGCTGTCTACCACGCCAGTCGCTCTCTCACCACGGCGGAGAAGAACTATGGCCAAGTGGAAAAAGAAGGTCTGGCGCTCGTCTACGCTGTCCGCAAATTCCATCGCTACATCTACGGACGCCACTTCACCTTGCTCACGGACCACAAGCCACTTCTGGCAATATTCGGATCAAAGAAAGGAGTCCCGGCTTACTCCGCGAACCGACTGCAACGATGGAGACTTACAATGCTCGCTTACGATTTCGACATCGAGTACCGAAACACCGCAAGCTTCGGACAAGCCGACGCACTGTCTCGTCTCATCGCCATGCAATCGCCTCCGGAAGAAGACGTCATCATTGCCACTATCGCCAAGGACGTTAACGCTATCTTCGTCGAGGCTGTGAACCGCTTACCGGTTACTGCCAAAGAGGTTGCCCACGCAACATCCGAAGACGACTGTCTCCGTCAAGTGATGGACCATGTCGCCCACCGTTGCTGGATACGCCCACCTACGCAACGAACTCTCGGCACAACAAGGATGCCTGCTCTTCGGAAGCCGCATCGTCATACCGCCATCACTCCAGCCGTCTGTCCTGAAAATGCTACACGAGGGACATCCAGGAGTTAACCGAATGAAAGCCCTCGCTCGTCAATATGTCTTCTGGACGAGAATCAACGAGGATGTGGAGAAACTCGTCCGTGCCTGCAACGATTGCCAAGAAGCCGCCAAGTCGCCAGTCAAGAACACGCTCTGTTCTTGGCCTCGTTCGGATGCGCCATGGAGCCGGATCCACATCGACTTTGCCGGCCCAATCGATGGAATGTCGTACCTGGTGATCGTCGACGCGTTCTCCAAATGGCCCGAAGTCATCTCAATGACTTCTACCACCAGCACCGCCACACTGAAGGAACTCCGTCGCCTGTTCGCTCAATTCGGATTCCCTCGCATCATCGTCTCAGATAATGGAACTCAGTTCACCGCTGCCGAGTTCCAGGATTTTTGCAAGAAGAAAGGAATCGAGCATATCCGGTCGCCGCCCTTCCACCCTCAGTCCAATGGACAAGCTGAGCGATTCGTGGACACATTCAAGAAGCACGGACCGACCGACGAAGCTCTACAAACATTCCTCTTCACATACCGGAATACGCCTTGCACCGCTTCTCCCAACGGAAGGTGTCCCGCAGAAAACTTCCTCGGAAGACGCCTTCGCAACACGCT